TAGTTGTAGCTACACTGAATAAAAGGTAAGGGGAAAAAGGAGAATAGAAGCTCAGGAAGGGGAGAGGTGAAAGGTTTATAAATAAAAGAGGAGGCAGTTGGGTAAGATAAAACCCTATTGGAGGATAGAGGGAAAAGGAGCATAGGCAATGGGGTCGAAAGGTAGGGGGTAGGTTTAAAAATGTATTTGTTAGATTTGTTCAGCAGAAGTTTGTGGATACTAGGAAAGTGGGTGCGGGAGGGAAAGAGGAGCGATTGGTGAATGATGATGAAAGAGAGTAGTAAGGGAGAAAAGTTAGCATATGAGAAGTTTTTACAAAGTAGAAGTGATGCAAGGAGGGAAGAGTATATGGAGAAAAAGAGAGAAGTTAAGAGAGTGGTGAAGCAAGTAAAAAGAGAGCAAATGAGAGAGTGGGTGAGATGTTATCAAAAAATTTTTTGTTGAAATAAGAAAAAGTTTTGGAGTGAGATTAACAAGTTAAGAAAGCCTAGAGAACAAATGGATTTGTCAGTTAAAAATAGGAGAGGAAGTTATTAAATGGAGAGTTAGAGGTATTGGGAAGATGGAAGGAATATTTTGAGAATTGTTAAATGTTGATGAAGATAGGGAAGCTGTGATTTCGTGTATAGGGCAAGGAGGAAAACATCTTGTAGGAGTGAGGAAGAGCCAGTGTGAGTGTGGGGGAATTCGTGAGGCAGTAGGTAAAATGAAAGGGGTAAGGCAGCCGGGATTGAGGGGATAAAGATAGAAATGTTAAAAGCAGGTGGGATATAGTTTTGGAGTGGTTGGTGCAATTATTTATAAATGTATGGAAAGGGTAAGGTCCCTAGGGATTGGCAGAGAGCATGCATAGTTCCTTTGTACAAAGGCAAAGGGGATAAAAGAGAGTGCAAAAATTAAAAGGGGGATAAGTCTGTTGAGTGTACCGGGTAAAGTGAATGGTAGAGTTATAATTGAAAGAATTAAGAGTAAGACGGAGAATAGGATAGCAGATGAACAAGGAGGCTTTAGGAAAGGTAGGGGGTGTGTGGACCAGGTGTTTTCAGTTTAAACATATAAATGAACAGTATTTTGATAAGGCAAAAAAGGTCTTTGTGGCATTTTTGGATTTGGAAAAAAGGCGTAGACAGGGTGGATAGGGGGCAATGTGGCAGATGTTGCAAGTGTATGGTGTAGGGGGTAAAGGGTTTCTGAAAGCAGTGAAGAGTTTTTACGAGGATAGTGAGGCTCAAGTTTGAGTATGTAGGAAAGAGGGAAATTTTTTCCCAGTAAAAGTAGGCCTTAGACAAGGATGTGTGATGTCACCGTGGTTGTTTAATATATTTATAGATGGGGTTGTAAGAGAAGTAAATGCGAGGGTCTTGCAAGAGGCGTGGAGTTAAAAGATAAAGAATCACACACAAAGTGGGAGTTGTCACAGCTGCTCTTTGCTGATGACACGTGCTCTTGGGAGATTCTGAAGAGAAGTTGCAGAGATTGGTGGATGAATTTGGTGGGGTGTGCAAAAGAAGAAAATTAAAGGTGAATACAGGAAAGAGTAAGGTTATGAGGATAACAAAAGATTAGGTGATGAAAGATTGAATATCAGTTTGGGAGGGAGAGAGTAGGGAGGAGGTGAACGTATTCAGATATTGGGAGTGGACGTGTCAGCGGATGGGTCTATGAAAGATGAGGTGAATCATAGAATTGATGAGGGAAAAAGAGTGAGTGGTGCACTTAGGATTTCTGTGGAGACAAAGAACTTTGTCCTTGGGGGCAAAGAGGGGAATGTATGAGAGTATAGTTTTACCAACGCCTTATATGGGTGTAAAGCGTGGGTGATGAATGTTGCAGCGAGGAGAAGGCTGGAGGCAGTGGAGATGTCATGTCTGAGGGCAATGTGTGGTGTGAATATAATGCAGAGAATTCGTAGTTTGGAAGTTAGGAGGAGGTGCGGATTACCAAAACTGTTGTCCAGAGGGCTGAGGAAGGGTTGTTGAGGGGGTTTTCGGACATGTAGAGAAATGGAGCGAAACAGAATGACTTCAAGAGTGTATCAGTCTGTAGGGGAAGGAAGGCGGGTAGGGGTCGCCTGGGAAGGGTTGGAGGGGGGGGGTAAAGGGGGTTTTTGTGTCGGGGGGCTTGGACTTCCAGTCAGGCATGCGTGAGCGTGTTTGATAGGAGTGAATGGAGACAAATGGTTTTTAATACTTGACGTGCTGTTGGAGTGTGAGCAAAGTAACATTTATGAAGGGATTCAGGGAAACCGGCAGGCCGGACTTGAGTCCTGGAGATGGGAAGTACAGTGCCTGCACTCTGAAGGAGGGGTGTTAATGTTGCAGTTTAAAAACTGTAGTGTAAAGCACCCTTCTGGCAAGACAGTGATGGAGTGAATGATGGTGAAAGTTTTTCTTTTTCGGGCCACCCTGCCTTGGTGGGAATCGGCCGGTGTGATAAAAAAAATAAAATAAAAACAAGCTTACACTAAAAAATACTATTAAGTTAGCAATAGAACTAGGCATTAATGAAACAATAAAAAAGTAAAATAGTACACATATAGTACACTCATTACTACTACTTTCAACACCGACCGTAGCCACCGAGGCAGGGTGGCACAAAAAGAAAAACGAAAGTTTCTTTTTTTAAATTTAGTAATTTATACAGGAAAGGGGTTACTAACCCTCTTCTCCTGGCATTTTTTTTTCCCCCTTTTACAACAACATGGCTTACGGAGGAAAAATTTCGTTCCCTTCCCCAGGGAGATATCAGGAAATAAACAAGAACAAGAACTTTAAAAAAAAAAAAAAAACCCAGGGGGGTTTGTGGTATATATACAGGGGACCCCCTTTTTATATTTTTTTTCATCCAAAGTATATTCAGGTGCCAGTACTGACCGAATCTTTTTCCCAAAAAGAAATTTGTGAATTAGATTTTTTCATTTCAGCCCCCCCAAAAACACATACAACCCCTTTTTACATAATTTGGTCGCTTTGGGGGGGGGAAACTAAAGGGGGGGTCCCGTATATATATGCTGACATGTATGTGCAGTGTGACCTAAGTGTAAGAAGAAGTGCAAGACATCCCTTGAAATTTGCATTTCTAGAACAGAAAAAAAAACCCCGCAACCTATATCATGTAAACAATAAGGTTTCCGTTTTACACTCATTTGGGCGGGACGGTATACCTCCGGCTTTTGGGTTCTCCCAACCTGCTACCATAACACTCATTACTTCCCTTAAAATATTTGTAGTCTTAATTAGGGCAAAAGGCGAGTAAAAAGATAAAAAAAAAAAAAAAGGAAAAATGAGTAAATAGAGGGGGGACAGATGCTGAGGTGTAAACAAACACACATTTGTATTATTATAAAAAATAAACAAAGAAGATTGTGAGCGGGGTAATATTTAGTGAAGGATTCAGGGAAACCGGTTATTTTTATACAGCGGGCTTTAGTTGGGAAAATGGGAAGTAGTACAATGCCTGCGCTTTTAAAGGATTTGGGTTTTGGCATTTTGGAGGGTTGTTATATTCTTTTTATGTTTCAAACTGTTGTATCGGGATGAATCCTGTTGACCCTGACCACTGCCCGGGCGGGAAGTAACATGGCTTGTAACTTAATCATGCAATGGATTAAAGAGACCAAGATGGAGTTTAAAAGGGGTAGCAAGGGGACCAGGTGTACTACTGACTAAAACAACTTTTTATGAAATGTTCTGTTCATAACATAAAAAAATGTCATATTGGCTCATTAGTAAGCAGCAGAAATCATAAATTTTGCAACTAGTGCTAACTTAGTACGGGCCTAATTTCCCGGTAAAATTTTTCTGTTTACTCCAACACATGGGCTGGTGATTTCTAGTTAATTCAAAAGCACCTGGCAATAAATACCTATACAACTACCTTTTGGATGGAAAATTTGCAAATACAGGGGGGCACTTAAAAACCCAAAAAAAATATAGTCATCCTTAAAATTCAAGAAAGGATGGGTTTGATCCATGGCAAGAGATTCTAAAACTAAAGCAGTAGGCGTTAACCACTGGGCCCGCTGGGTCTAAAAATTCTCCAACTAGATTTTTTTTTTCTATACACCATAGGGGGGTTAGCATAGGCCCCACTGACCACAAATTGCGGTTTTTACGACAAAACCCCCCACCATTTAAAGTCAATATTTACTATATTAGTGCGATACTTTTTTTTCCCCCCACAACACGTCTCCCAATGAAAGGGAGAGTGTCCCAAAACAAAAAAAAAATTTTCTTTGACATTTTTTGTTTATCAGAAAAAAGGGTTCACCCCCTTTCCCAGGCATTTTTTGTCGCCTCTTACGACACAGGTGGCTTACTGAGAAAAGGTTCTCAGTAAGCCACCTTGGGCACGATGTGTGTATAATGTATACATTACTGAATAATGTGTAGTGTGACTCAAAAGTTGCAGGAGCAGCAAGATGTGCCATTATCTTGTATTTACAGAGATAGGCTCTAAAACAAAAAACCAAATCCAAAAAAAAAAATTTATTTTGCAACATTTTTTTATTTTAGGGTGGGTTGGTAGATAGCAACCACCCAGGGAGGTACTACCCTCCCGCCAAGTAAGTGTAAAATGGAAGCCTGAATCTTACACGATGGGGAGGATTGCTTTGTCTTTTTTTTTGCACATAACATCAAGATTTAGGTAGTCTTTCACTTTCTTAAACTTAGGTCACACTACACGTACATGTATATACACACCCCTCATTTTTTTCTTCTATTTTCTTTCTAGTTCTTTTTTATTTCCTTTTACCTCCATGAGGAAGTGGAACAGAATTCTTCCTCTGTAAGCCATGCGTGTTGTAAGAGGCGACTAAAATGCTGGGAGCAAGGGGCTAGTAACCCCTTCTCCTGTATATATTACTAAATGTAAAAGGAGAAACTTTCGTTTTTCCTTTTGGGCCACCCCGCCTAGGTGGGATACAGCCGGTGTGTTGAAAGAAGAAAGATTTTGTATTATTTGTGATCTTCAGTTTTGTAGGACCACTAAGAACACAACTGTCTTGAGAATTTGTAGGGATGATTGCACAGAACTCATTATCCACATGCACTCATTCTGATCATGCTTCTTACCAAGCAATGCTTTAGCTCGTCTGTGTCTTGATCTTGCTGTAGCCAAAAAATTGGGAAGATCATGTGCATGAGACTCCAAGGAATAGTCTGGTGTGAGTGTGGCAGAAGTGAAGTTTGGCTCAATACCCTGTAAAACAAATTGCTATTATAGGAAGTCTGTTGGATAATGCTTAGAAACACAAAGAAACTGTTATATATATGACAAGAATTTTGATTAAAAAAAAAGATATACATGCAAGCGTGCATGAGCGTGTTAGATAGGAGTGAATGGAGATGAATGATACTTGGGACCTGACGATCTGTTGGAGTGTGAGCAGGGTAATATTTAGTGAAGGGATTCAGGGAAACCGGTTATTTTCATATAGTCGGACTTGAGTCCTGGAAATGGGAAGTACAATGCCTGCACTTTAAAGGAGGGGGTTGGGATATTGGCAGTTTGGAGGGATATGTTGTGTATCTTTATACATATATGCTTCTAGACTGTTGTATCCTGAGCACCTCTGCAAAAGCAGTGATAATGTGTGAGTGTGGTGAAAGTGTTGAATGATGATGAAAGTATTTTCTTTTTGGGGATTTTCTTTCTTTTTTGGGTCACCCTGCCTCGGTGGGAGACGACCGACTTGTTGAAGAAAAAAAAAAAAAAATTTAGGTATCTTTATTAAAAATCAATTTGTTGGTATTGTACAGCTTCTCCTCACTTAACGATGGAGTTCCATTCCTAAGACCACATCGGTAAACAAATTCATCGCTAAATGAGGAGCATACGTACTATAATGGTAGAGGGTTTGTGTCAACCATCTTTGATATTGTTTTAATGTCACCCTTGCACCACTTGTAACATTTCTGGCATATTTTTAAATGTTTATACAGTAGTGTACGGTATATTATAATAAACAGAATAGAGGAAATCAGCTCTAATATACATTATTTAGGCATGTATACTGGTCAGAGAGTCCGTCGTAAGTCTGATTTGTCTTTAAACGAGTACATCACAAAGTGAGGAGTTGTATATACCTTAGATTTGGTGAATCACAGTTGAACATGCAATGATTAATTTATTCTTTACATCTTCTCCTATCAATAACACAAGTTGAAGAGGGCTGGAATAGTTTTAAAAATGCAGTATTAGCATGTGGGGCAGAAGTTTGTGGTTATAGGAGGGTGGGGGCAGGAGGAAAGAGGAGTGATTGGTGGAATGATGAAGTAAAGGGTGTGATAAAAGAGAAAAAGGTAGCTTATGAGAGGTTTTTACAAAGCAGAAGTGTTATAAGAAGAGCAGAGTATATGGAGAGTAAAAGAAAGGTAAAGAGAGTGGTGAGAGAGTGCAAAAGGAGAGCAGATGATAGAGTGGGAGAGGCACTGTCAAGAATTTAATGAAAATAAAAAAAAATTTTTGGAGTGAGTTAAACAATTAAGAAGCCTAGGAAAATATGGATTTGTTAGTTAAAAAACAGAGTAGGGGAGTAGTAGATGGGGAGATGGAGGTTTTAGGTAGATGGGGGAGAATTTTTGAGGAACTTTTAAATGTTAAGGAAGAAACAGAGGCAGTAATTTCATGCACGGGTCAGGGAGGTATACCACTTTTAGGAGTGAAGAAGAGAAGAATGTAAGTGTGGGGGAGGTACGTGAGGCATTACGTAAAATGAAAGGGGTAAAGCAGTCTGAAACTGATGGATCATGACAGAAATGTTAAAAGCATGGGGGGATATAGTGTTGGAGTGGTTGGTACTTCTGTTTAATAAATGTATGAAAGAGGGGAAGGTACCTGGGGATTGGCGGAGAGCTTTGTATAGTCCCTTTATATAAAGGGAAAGGGGACAAAAGAGACTGTAAAAATTATAGAGGAATAAGCTTACTGAGTATACCAGGAAAAGTGTACGGTAGGGTTATAATTGAAAGAATTAGAGGTAAACAGAATGGAGGATTGCGGATGAGCAAGGAGGTTTCAGAGTGGGTAGGGGATGTGTAGATCAAGTGTTTACATTGAAGCATATATGTGAACAGTATTTAGATAAAGGTAGGGAAGTTTTTATTGCATTTATTTGGGTTTAGAAAAGGCATATGATAAGTGGATAGAGGAGCAATGTGGCAGATGTTGCAAGTATATGGAATAGGTGGTAAGCTATTAAATGCTGTAAAGAGTTTTTAAAGAGGATAGTGAGGCTCAGGTTAGGGTGTGTAGAAGAGAGGGAGACTACTTCCCGGTAAAAGTAGGTCTTAGACAGGGATGTGTAATTGTCACCATGGTTGTTTAATATATTTATAGATGGGTTGTAAAGGAAGTAAATGCTAGGGTGTTCGGGAGAGGGGTGGGATTTAAATTTTGGGGAATCAAATTCAAAATGGGAATTGACACAGTTACTTTTTGCTGATGATACTGGCTTATGGGAGTTCTAAAGAAAAATTGCAAAGGTTAGTAGATGATTTGGGAATGTTTTGTAAAGGTAGAAAGTTGAAAGTGAACATAGAAAAGAGTAAGGTGATGAGGGTATCAAATGATTTAGATAAAGAAAAATTGGATATCAAATTGGGGAGGAGGGTATGGAAAAGTGAATGTTTTCAGATACTTGGAGTTGACGTGTCGGCGGATGGATTTATTGAAGGATGAGGTTAATCATAGAATTGATGAGGAAAAAAGGTGAGTGGTCGTTGAGGTATATGTGGAGTCAAAAAACGTTATCTATGGAGGCAAAGAAGGGAATGTATTGAAAAATATAGTAGTACCAACACCTTATATGGGGTGAAGCTTGGATGGTAAATGCAGCAGCGAGGAGACGGTTGGGGGCAGTGGAGATGTCCTGTTTAAGGGCAATGTTTTGGTGTAAATATTAAGCAGAAAATTCGGAGTGTGGAAATTAGGAGAAGGTGTGGAGTTAATAAAAGTATTAGTCAGAGGAGAAGAGGGGTTGTTGAGGTGGTTTGGTCATTTAGAGAGAATGGATCAAAGTAGAATGACATGGAAAGTATATAAATCTATAGGGGAAGGAAGGTGGGTAGGGGTCGTCCTCGAAAGGGTTGGAGAGAGGGGTAAAGGAGGTTTTGTGGGCAAGGGGCTTGGACTTCCACAAGCGTGCGTGAGCGTGTTAGATAGGAGTGAATGGAGACGAATGGTACTTGGGACCTGACGATCTGTTGGAGTGTGAGCAGGGTAATATTTAGTGAAGGGATTCAGGGAAACCGGTTATTTTCATATAGTCGGACTTGAGTCCTGGAAATGGGAAGTACAATGCCTGCACTTTAAAGGAGGGGTTTGGGATATTGGCAGTTTGGAGGGATATGTTGTGTGTCTTTATATGTGTATGCTTCTGGACTGTTGTATTCTGAGCACCTCTGCAAAAACAGTGATAATGTGCGAGTGTGGTGAAAGTGTTGAATGATGATGAAAGTATTTTCTTTTTGGGGATTTTCTTTCTTTTTTTTTGGGGTCACCCTGCCTCAGTGGGAAACGGCCGACTTGTTAAAAAAAAAAAAAAAAAAAAAATGTATATATTCAATGTCTTTGATACCCTCTTCCCTCCTTTATATGAAAGGTGCAGCAATAAAGGCACTGAGGCAGATGACCTAAGAAGAAAAATCAAAGTTTTTTTTTTTTCCAACGTACCAGCTGCATCCCACCGAGGTGGGGCGACCCATAAGAAAAAACAAAAGTTTCTCCTTTTAAATTTAGTAATATATACAGGAGAAGGGGTTACTAACCCCTTGCTCCCGGCATTTTAGTCGCCTCTTACGACATGCTTGGCTTACAGAGGAAGAATTCTGTTCCACTTCCCCATGGAGTTATTTTCTTATTATTCAGTTAAAGTCTGGCATATTAAAATTATTATAGAGCTTCTCTTCACTTAACAATGGAGTTCTGTGCCTAAGACCACATCGATAAACGAATTCATCGCTAGGTTAGAAGCATACTATAATAGTAGTGGGTGTGTGTTGACCATCTTTGATACTGTTTTAATGTCACCTTTACACCATTTATAACATTTCTGGTATATTTTTAAATGTTTAAACAGTAGTGGACTGTATATTGTAATAAACAGTAGAGGAAATTGGCTCTAATATACATTTAGGTATGCATACTGGTCAGAAAGCCTGTCATAAGTCCGAGTTATTGGTAAATAAGTACAACGTTAAGTGAGGAGAGGCTGTAATTAAAAAAATAAAAAAAGGACTATTTGCTCCTAACCATACATTATCAATCATTTTTAGCACTACCATTCCAGAAATCGGTAGGCAATAACCTAACTTACTTTATTCATTAAAATGTGCTTAACCCGTTAGGTCACACTGAGCTGAAATTTCAATGAGGAAATATCAGTACTTAAACCAAAGAAAATGTTGAACTCTTTGTTCATGGACTGTGTTTGGGAAATGATAATCCCCCAAAAACAATCCACCATCTCCTGGGAGGTTGGAGAAGGAAATGCACCCCCTCCCATAAAAAAAAAAAAAAAAAAAACACACACATGCTACACTTAAAAATATTGTGCTTACTTGAAAGTGTCTACCAACTTGAAGTATTGCTTCCCTCAAGTCAACGAGCAGCTCCGTCTGCCGAATGTTCTTGTTCCGAAGGTTGTCTGCATTTCTATCCTCTCCAAACAATATTATCTCCAGCATGGATTTACTTTTGTTCACCTGTCGTCTGAAAACAAATATTAAACCTATTACGAAAGTGTAACAGAAGAGTGTTCAGCTGCAACCTGCTTTAAAAAAAATGTTTGCTCTAAAAAAATGTTAAATTAACTAATCAAAATAATCGTACTATTAGCACAGTTTAGGTTTATCATGTGCTTTTGTAATACGAATATATAATGTGTAAGAATCAATCAACATACTATACAATATCGTTTGTTTTTCCCTCGCATCAGCAGTCTCTCACCAAGGTATGGTGATCCATAAAGCTAACATTTACCATCATTTATTCAACAGTTGTCATGTCAGAAGTGTACAAACATCACAGTTCTAATGACTCTGCGAACTGTAACATCCTCAACCCTCCCTTAGAATACTGACACTGCACATCCCACCTTCAAGACTCAAATCTGGTTAACCCATTTCCCTAAATTCCTTCATGTATGTTCTTGTTTACACTCCAAAAGCAGATCAAATTTCCTTCAAAGTTTCACCAAAGGTAGTCCTTAATATATAAAGTTTCTAAGGTCAAGGAGTTACAATTTGGGTATTGATTAAGCCAAACAGGTAATTCTGCATATAAATTAGTACTGTATATTTTTATTTGTAAATATTTGATAAAAAAATCAAATGATACTGTTAAATTAAGTTAAAGAAAGGTTTTAAAAATAATCTTAAATTATCAGGAGAAAAGAACAGTCAAAAGATGTCCAAAGTGTAATTAACTCTCATGTATTAAAAATATAGGTGCATACTGGTATAGTATATAAAATTTCGAAGAAACATTTTCCACATTATACAAAAAGTAACATTCTGGAAGGATTTTTCACATTCTTTCCCAAAAAAAATTACCAGAAAATGGAAGGTTAATGACTAAACATGTGGACTTCATTAATTATATAGTTTATCATCACATTCAGGGGTAAGCACTAAACTCACTGGGGGGTCATACAGAACCTGGGAAAATGGGAGGAAATCGGGTTTGATTCAAAGAAAGGAAGGACAGACCCAACTCAAGCCCGAGGCACTTTTATTGTTTACCTGTATGCTCGCCTGACCTCTGATATGGTCAGGGCTGTGGGATGAGCGAGGACTGAGGACATGGGATGTAATGGGGTCGGTAGAGGAGTAAGGGAAGGCCTGGCACCCACTGGGCCATGTATATTTATGTTTTGCTGTGACTCTCCAGCTGTTGGCTCCTTATGTACCTTTATTTGGGTGTTTAGGCTAAGAGATGTATGAAGGTGTTTTTCTAGTGTGTATATAGTGTTACTACTAATAAATGTATATTTTCCTAACTAGGAATTTTGCCTAACCCTCTGATAAACCCATTGAAGTAATAAATGCAGGTTTAGGACTTTCTGTTTTGACTGGGATAGCCCTGGGTGGCCTAGACAAGGCCTTCAGGGGGAATTCAGGCCTAAAATTTTTTTTTTTTTATTTTTCGTTCGATTTCTTTCATTTTTTTTGTACGTAAAGAAGCACCTTTCAATAGTAATGTGACCAAGTTTCAATAAGATAGCTCAAAAAACAACTGAGAAAAAAATTATTTACTAATAATCATACATAATCATACATATTGCAAGGTACCGTCGAAGTGGGACTTGGAGAAGCTGTTTTGGCATTATCTACGCATAAAACAATGCTAAACTGTATTTCTAGTGGATTGCCTTTCTGTAATTTATCCTTTCTTCATTCTTAAAAAAATAAATTTTGTATGTTTTTTGACTTTCAGCCAAATATCTGACTTTTGCCCTCACATAAATCAAAAACAAATTATGATATCTCAAAAAGCGATCCACTAGCTTGTAAAACAATCTTTCCTTTATGTTCTCTGTGAATTTCATTACATTCCTGCTATTATTAACTTAGTTACTTGCTCATATATGTGAATAACTTACTTCCGAGATAATCCGCGAAACAGCCGGACCACCTTTTTTTTTTTTTTTCCGAGAAAATAACATTTTTCTCAGTCTTATACTGCATTACGAGTGTATATCATAGTTAACCATGTTCGTTTTCTCTAATATAAGGACCCTGGAGGTGAGAGAAAGAGAATGTAAGCCCCCTCTGAGAATGGGAATCTATTTTCCCGATGGAGCGCTCTGGGAATATTCCATATATTATTCATTCTGGAGTATTTACCATACTTCTTTGTTATTTATATTGTTTATTATGTCATATTAGATCAATTGTGATAGATAAATAAGCCGTAGAAGCTATAATAGCGTTATATTGAAGCCATATTCCCCGGCACCCCCCGAGACTGGAATTTTCCATGACGTCAGCAAAATGGTGTCGGGAGGTTCCTGGTTGGTTGGAACTCTACGTATAAGTCCCACCCACTGTATTATGATACCAAATCGTCAATTATTATCTTAGAAAGAATAATACAGTAAATACACGAAAAAAAAACGGAAAAAAAAAAAATAAATTGACGACAGGTGAGCACACCTGTCGCGGGTGGTGACGTAACCCTAGGTGTATTTAAATGACCATAATTCCTTGTAGGAATGTCGTAGAACAATGATTCTGGTACCATTGTGTTGCCAGAGAGTTAAGCTATTTTTCTACAAGATTAACTCAGTTTGTGAATTTTTTTCGGAAAAAATTTTTCGTTCGTGTTTTCCCGGAATTCCCCCTTCAGGCCCCAGGAAATCCCACTTTCTGCATAACAAGCTATATATAGTACATTGTTCACAAATCAATATTTTAGGCACATGCCAACTTTTCCTATCAATTATCAGTTTTAACATTTTTAGTTTAAGCTGTTCTCAAGGTACAGTATATATGCACAAATTTGTAATGAAGCAAAGTTTAATTTTTAGGGTGGCCCGGTGGTCTGGTGGCTAAAGCTCCCGCTTCACACACGGAGGGCCCGGGTTCGATTCCCGGCGGGTGGAAATTCCGACACGTTTCCTTACACCTATTGTCCTGTTCACCTAGCAGCAAATAGGTACCTGGGTGTTAGTCGACTGGTGTGGGTCGCATCCTGGGGGACAAGATTAAGGACCCCAATGGAAATAAGTTAGACAGTCCTCGATGACGCACTGACTTTCTTGGGTTATCCTGGGTGGCTAACCCTCCGGGGTTAAAAATCCGAACGAAATCTTATCTTATCTTATCTCTTACCAGACTGCCTCTTTCTCTTTTAACACACTGGCCATCTCTAGCTAAAGTAGGGTGATGCCTAATTTTCCAACATTTAATGTGCTGCATAACACTAATGCATAACACTAATGCAGTATGGAAAACTATATAAAAGACATTCTGCTTGGTTGACAAGCTCTTCAACCAGGAATGACTATTTTGGTTACTGATTTTACAGTCTCAATTCAAGCACACTCAATTTGTAATGTGACAGAAGTCAGCCTGTCCAGTACATTTCCTCTCTCATGGAAAACTTTAATACGTGGCAAGTGGCAAGGGGTAGGAGAGCAGGCAGGATGAATGACTGGCTTGCTTGCCCTATGTGCCCTGTCTGCACATTTTGCAAACAATCATTTTGTTTCTGGCAACATAATTTCCAGTTGGGCACAAGATGCCTGTCTACCACAATGAAATGGACAGGTCCTGAGCAAAGCCTGGACTGCACAAACTTGCAATTAAGCAGAGTCAGTCCATTTTATCAGGTGTATGACCGAACTGGACATCTTTCGATATAGCAAATTTGGGCTGCTTCATAGCTATTTAAATTGGACAACCCATTAAACTTACGTGTTGAGCCATTGCCAGCCAGATTTTTTGTCCATTTTAGCTGATAGCCACCTTATGTGGGTTTGTAAAGATTAATGACCTGGAATTTTATTTTTATTCAATAAAATTAAGAAAACTTAGGTAGTAGGTTGGTAGACAGCAACCATCCAGGGAGATACTACCATCCTGCCAAGCGAGTGTGAAGCGGAAACCTGTAATTGTTTTACATGATGGCAGGATTGCTGGTGTCTTTCAGCCTCATATACATGCAGGACAACAGGTATATCTTGCTACTTCTACTTACACTTAGGTCACACTACACATGCATGTACACGCATACACAGCAGGACCCCCGCAACTGCAGAGAATACGTTCCAAGACCTACCATGGATACCTGAAACTGGGAACCCTACATTTCAGAAATTTTTAATTTACATACATAAATATGATCAAGTTTAACTGGTAAGTTATGTACAGCAAGTCAAGATTTAGCACTTCTTTCACTTATGGGAAGCACTTCATGACTTCGCTTAGGCTTGGAAGAACTGTCACCGTCACTACTTTTGCACTTGGGTATCATTATTAAGCAAAGTTAAGGGTTATTGTCGGGCTAGGGTAAATCGTGGGTAACAAACTGCAGAAACTGGACTCATTGTATATACACACCCACCTGAGTTTTCTTCTATTTTCTTAATACACAGTTCTTTTTTAGTTCCTCTCATTTCAGTGGGGAAGTGGAAAAGAATTCTTCCTCTGTAAGCCATGTGTGTCATAAGAGGCGACTAAAATGCCGGGAGCAAGGGGCTAATGACCCCTTCTCCTGTATATATTACTAAAGTTAAAAAAAAGAAACTTTTGTTTTTCTTTTTGGGCCACCCTGCTTCAGTGGGATATGGCTGGTCTGTTGAAAGAAAGAAGAACATTAAGAAAAATCTAGAACCACACAAAGTAATTCTAAAGCTGCCATATAAAAGTCCCAGTCAGTGAAATGATGTTCAAATATGTATATAAATGTACATTAATAGCATCTTAGCTCATTTACCTATTAAGATGTTGTTTGGGAAGATTGGTCGAGTGGTCTGGATTGATAAGGGCTCCATGATCTGCCATGAGGTAAGCAAGGTGTCGTCGACGATGGGTTTCTACCATTACATCAGTTAAGCTTCCACATACATTCTCCATTACCTAAAGCAGAATTAAGAAACGTGATGCACACACATCCTCAACCATCTCAATTAATATAAGATCTGTCTGTATACTAGTCTACACAATAATGTAAAAAATTTTAAGACTGACTACCCCCACTGAGAGTATACTAAATGTTGCCTACAAGTACTGCATTAACAAAGGATACACATAAGTAAATAAAGTGAAATTAAGTTTTAAAAGCTGCAATTATTAATTTTCATTAAGCATAAGGAACCTGAAGTTAACACTTAAGCAATATTTTTATCATAATATCAGTATAAACTTACTACCAATTACTAATTACAGCACAGCACCAATTTATAATGGAATGTAATATATGTATAAAAATTCTAGCAAGGCTGTTCCTCAATCTACATATTGACAAATTCCTATTACAATGATAGGAATGGCAGAATATTTAAGATAAAGTTAGCCCAGATAAACTATGAAGTGGCAAGTGACAATATTTCACCAGCTGTTGAAAAATATTAGTAGCACTCAAGATTTCTTTGCAAATTCTTAAGGAAGAATTTCTTAAGTTCCACTAAGATGTGTCAGAACAACCAGAAGGAACACAAGCAAAATGACAAACAAGATAAACAATAATTGGAGTTAGGAAAGAAAGAAAAGCTATAGAATGAGTAGAAGGCAACAGCAATCATGTACACACTACCTTAAACAAACACTCCACATCATCGACATCACCTGGGATATCTGACAGGGCATTAAATATCTGTGCCGAATTTTCCAAGCTACGAAGGTCTGCTTCTGTAATGGGGAACAACAGTTTTTTTTTTTATTCCAAAAGGGTCTGACAAATGAAAACAAGATACACTGCTGAGCACAAGTTACCATTAAATACATATATTAAACTTCATTTACCCATTACAACCTGAAAACCATAGAAGAATGATAAAAATTTTAATATAATACTTGAGAAAAAATTATACACCCCCCTCAAAACTCGCCATCTAAATCTGACAAAACATAAAATAAGGGCATCTTGTAGCCTGTGAGTCAACAATGAACCATGATATCCATACCCTTCTGGAAAGGCAAATAAAAACAAAGATGGTGATGCATAAAATGAACAATGAACTAAAAATATACATACTATATAATTATTTAATTTTGTTTTATTAAAGTGATTACAATAAATGCTAAGCAATTATAAGTAATTTTAGCTTATTCATACCTTGAAACTTAACAAGAATTAATATGTTACAGACTAATTCAGGGCTTGCACAACACTAATAAATTGATGAGCAGGACAAATGTGCAACACCTGGATATCTTCATTAATGAGATGCTTTACCAACCAGTGGCTTTTTCAATACAATACAGAGAATATATACTGGAAGTTGTGGAAGAAGTGGGTAGGTAATTTTGAGGTAATTTTTATCAAGGCTAGAGAAATGAACACCTATCAAGTCAGAGGGACCGAACACTTCAAAACTACTGATTCTTCCACTGTCTCCAGTACATAGTCTCCATACTGGATGAAAAAACCACTGGTTAGTGAAACATCTCATCAATGAAGATACCTAGGTATTTCACATGCGTCTTATTCAACAGTGTAAATGATACTTCCTAAAGCAGATTCTAGTTAATTTGAGCAAGTAACAAGTTAAATTTGAATACCATACAATTCTTACCTTTAATCTTAAGCATGGCAAGAGTGACTTGGAAGAGGACAATTGATCCATCAAGGAAGAATAGATCCCATACCCTTAGGAGGATCTTCATGTGCAAAACTGAAGCAAAGACGGTGACAAACCAGTGTAAGGTGATGAGCGATAGTTCTATGTCATGTTCCCGTACCACCGACTCCACTCCTGGTAAGTAAGTGGAGACCAGCGCTGCCAACACTCGTTGGTCCGCCTGCACGCCTATTTCAATTAAGTACAAGTTTCAGTTAAACCTCGGACAGATAATATTCACACAAACATTTGTCTTGAGTATTTTTTTTTTATTATCACACTGGCCGATTCCCACCAAGGCAGGGTGGCCCGAAAAAGGAAAACTTTCACCATCATTCACTCCATCACTGCCTTGCCAGAAGGGTGCTTTACACTACAGTTTTTAAACTGCAACATTAACACCCCTCCTTCAGAGTGCAGGCACTGTACTTCCCATCTCCAGGACTCAAGTCCGGCCTGCCGGTTTCCCGGAACCCCTTCATAAATGTTACTTTGCTCACACTCCAACAGCACGTCAAGTATTAAAAACCATCTGTCTCCATTCACTCCTATCAAACACGCTCACGCATGCCTACTGGAAGTCCAAGCCCCTCGCACAAAAAACCTCCTTTACCCCCTCCCTCCAACCTTTCCTAGGCCGACCCCTACCCCACCTTCCTTCCACTACAGACTGATACACTCTTGAAGTCACTCTGTTTCGCTCCATTCTCTCTACATGTCCGAACCACCTCAACAACCCTTCCTCGGCCCTCTGGACAACAGTTTTGGTAATCCCGCACCTCCTCCTAACTTCCAAACTACGAATTCTCTGCATTATATTCACACCACACATTGCCCTCAGACATGACATCTCCACTGCCTCCAGCCTTCTCCTCGCTGCAACATTCATCACCCATGCTTCACACCCATATGCTGCAACATTCATCACCCATGCTTCACACCCATATAAGAGCGTTGGTAAAACTATACTCTCATACATTCCCTCTTTGCCTCCAAGGACAAAGTTACCTGTCTCCACAGACTCCCAAGTGCACCACTCACCCTTTTCCCCTCATCAGTTCTATGATTCACCTCATCTTTCATAGACCCATCCGCTGACACGTCCACTCCCAAATATCTGAATACATTCACCTCCTCCATACTCTCTCCCTCCAATCTGATATCCAATCTTTCATCACCTAATCTTTTTGTTATCCTCATAACCTTACTCTTTCCTGTACAGTGGACCCTTAACCAGCGATGGCATCGATTAACGATAAATCTGACTAGCGATACATTTAAACGCAAAATTTTTGCCTCGACTAGTGCTTAAAAACCCGACCAGCGCTATTCGTTCTGTACCATACGCATCCACTTTGGCCTGAGCGCGCCTCACTTGTCCCTTGGGTGTCAGTGTTTACAAGCCAGCCAGCCACCATGGTCGCTTCCAAGCATACAACAACTGGAACATTTCATATTATCACAGCCTTTGTAGTGATTGCACCTGCAAAATAAGTCACCATGGGCCCCAAGAAAGCTTCTAGTGCCAACCCTACAGCAAAAAGGGTGAGAATTACTATGGAGATGAAGAAAGAGATCATTGCTAAGTATGAAAGTGGAGTGCGTGTCTCTGAGCTGGTCAGGTTGTATAATAAACCCCAATCAACCATCGCTACTATTGTGGGTAAGAAAACGGCAATCAAGGAAGCTGTTCTTACCAAAGGTGCAGCTGCTGCTGCACCACAGTCAGCTGTTGTTGTTGCTACACCACCATCAGCTGTATTACTCGAAGATGTGGAGAAATGTTGTTGGTGTGGCTTAACATGAAACAATTACCGAGAAATGATTAACCCCGGAGGGTTAGCCACCCAGGATAACCCAAGAAAGTCAGTGCATCATCAAGGACTGTAACTTATTTCCATTGGGGGTCCTTAATCTTGTCCCCCAGGATGCGACCCACAACAGTTGACTAACACCCAGGTGAACAGGAAAAAATGCCTGGAACTAGTGCTCATATTGGTGAGGTTAGTGGGGAGGATGTGGAAAAGTTGGTGGAGGAGGACAATGAAGAACAAACCACTGATGAGCTGCTAGATCATCTTCAACAGTAAGAGGCCACACCTGAGGAAACTGCTTCGGAGGAGGGGAGAGAGAAATTGAAGAAGTTGCCTACTTCAAAGATTAAGGAAATGTGTGCAATGTGGCTTAAAGTGCAAACCTTTTTTGATGAAAATCACCCTCACACAGCTATTGCAAGCCGTGCTGGTGACTATTATGCTGACAATTTTGTGAAACACTTTAGGATAAAGGAACGAGAGGTACAGGCCTCTATGGACAGCTATGTTGTGCGACAGAAGTCCAGTGACTCTGAAGCTGGTCCTAGTGGCATTAAAAGAACAAGGGAAGTAACCCCAGAAAAAGACTTGCTACCTCAAGTGGTAATGGAAGGGGATTCCCCTTCTAAACACTAACAAGATCAACGGTCTCCCCTCCTCCCATCCCATCAATCATCACCAGATCTTCAATAAAGGTAAGTGTCATGTAACTGTGCATGTCTTCTTCAGTTTGTGTATATTAAAATTAATATTTCATGTGGTAAAATTTTTTTTTTTCAATACTTTGGGGTGTCTTGCACGGATTAATTTGATTTCCATTATTTCTTATGGGGAAAATTAACGTGACTAACAATTATTTTGATTAACGATGAGCTCTCAGGAACGGATTAATATCGCTGGTTGAGGGTCCACTGTATTCACTTTTAATTTTCTTCTTTTCACACCCTACCAAATTCATCCACCAATCTCTGCAGCTTCTGTTCAGAATCTCCCAAGAGCACAGTGTCATCAGCAAAGAGCAACTGTGACAACTCCCACTTTATGTGCGATTCTTTATCTTTTAACTCCACGCCTCTTGCCAAGACCCTCGCATTTACTTCTCTTACAACCCCATCTATAAATATATTAAACAACCACGGTGATATCACACATCCTTGTCTAAGGCCTACTTTTACTGGGAAATAATTTCACTCTTTCCTACATACTCTAACTTGAGCCTCACTATCCTACCCCATACCTCTTCGACCCCATTGCCTATGCTCTCATTAGCCCATCTATCCTCCAATAGCTGTTTATATCTTACCCTAACTGCCTCCTCTTTTAGTTTATAAACCTTCACCTCTCTCTTCCCTGATGCTTCTATTCTCCTTGTATCCCATCTACCTTTTACTCTCAGTGTAGCTACAACTAGAAAGTGATCTGATATATCTGTGGCCCCTCTATAAACATGTACATCCTGAAGTCTACTCAACAGTCTTTTATCTACCAATATATAATCCAACAAACTACTGTCATTTCGCCCTATATCATATCTTGTATACTTATTTATCCTCTTTTTCTTAAAATGTGTATTACCTATAACTAAACCCCTTTCTATACAAAGTTCAATCAAAGGGCTCCCATTATCATTTACACCTGGCACCCCAAACTTACCTACCACACCCTCTCTAAAAGTTTCTCCTACTTTAGCATTCAGGTCCCCTACCACAATTACTCTCTCACTTGGTTCAAAGGCTCCTATACATTCACTTAACATCTCCCAAAATCTCTCTCTCCTCTGCATTCCTCTCTTCTCCAGGTCATAAACGCTTATTATGACCCACTTTTCGCATCCAACCTTTACTTTAATCCACATAATTCTTGAATTTACACATTCATATTCTCTTTTCTCCTTCCATAACTGATCCTTCAACATTACTGCTACCCCTTCCTTTGCTCTAACTCTCTCAGATACTCCAGATTTAATCCCATTTATTTCCCCCCACCGAAACTCCCCTACCCCCTTCATCTTTGTTTCGTTTAGGGCCAGGACATCCAACTTCTTTTCATTCATAACATCAGCAATCATCTGTTTCTTGTCATCCGCACTACATCCACGCACATTCAAGCATCCCAGTTTTATAAAGTTTTTCTTCTTCTCTTTTTTAGTAAATGTCTACAGGAGAAGGGGTTACTAGCCCATTGCTCCCGGCATTTTAGTCGCCTCATACGACACTCATGGCTTACGGAGGAAAGATTCTGTTCCACTTCCCCATGGACAATAGAAGAAATAAAGAAGAACAAGAGCTATTTAGAAAAAGGAGGAAAACCTAGATGTATGTATATATACAGGAGGGCCCCGCTTTACGGAGTTTCACTTTACGGCATTCCGCTAATACGGTCATTTCAAATTATGACCAAAACTCGCTATATGGCTCCTCCCACCTGACTTTCTAATACGGTCACCGCGCCCCACCCTGTTTGTTTACATTCTTCATGAGCTCAGTAAGCACTAAGTCTCTCCATTTTGTCTGGAAACTCCAAAATTTCAAATGTTTTTAAAAGTTATTTCATATTTTATATATACTCTGATAATTATACTTATGTATATCTGTACTTAAATAAACTTACATACTGTGCTGGCATGCAGGTACACATTAAAATCAGTAAGAGTGTCTTATGTCTCCAGACGTCATATTAGTAATGATTATAATAATCATCGAGTCTCATTTAAATGTCGTATATTACGTTAAATACACATTTTCATTAATCCATCTATGATATTTTTTCAAAATTATATAATAAACACGATACATAACATAAAAAGATGATAAATACACCCCACAATAGAATAAACAAACATAAATATGAGATGTGGTAGCAGACGACTTGCACAAGTGACGCCATATTAGAAATGATAATAATAATAATAATAATACAGTGGACCCCCGCATAACGATGGCATCACATAGCGATTATTTCGCATACCGCTTACTTTAATTGCAAAAATTTTACCTCACATACCGCTTAAAAACCCGCTTACCGATTTTCGTCCGAGACGCGCTCACATGTTCCGCCGGTGGCATTGTTTACCAGCCAGCCTCCGCGGTAACATCCAAGCATACAATCGGAATATTTCGTATTATTACAGTGTTTTCGGTGCTTTTTCTGGAAAATAAGTGACCATGGGCCCCAAGAAAGCTTCTAGTGCCAACCCTACAGCAATAAGGGTGAGAATTACAATAGAGATGAAGAAAAAGATCATTGATAAGTATGAAAGTGGAGTGCATGTCTCCGAGCTGGCCAGGTTGTATAACAAACCCCAATCAACCATCGCTACTATTGGTGGTACAGCTGCTGCTGCTGCTGCTGCACTGTCAGCTGCGTGCTGCTGCT